TATTTAACTCTACTCTATTGGATAAATGGATGGTGTCCCTCCACCCCTCTACCCCTGCACCCCTCCATCCCACCACTGCATTTCGGGACACATATATAAAAGAAACTTAATAAAATAATATGGGTAACTAATCAAAAATAATTTACTCTCATATTTCAACATTAAACTCTACTATTTTATATATATACTATAGATGCAGCTGTATTTTTTACTATACGGCAAAGTAAGTTCTGCAAAAATTAATTGGATGCTACAAATACTGAAAAGACAACGGTCCGTCAAATTTCTGTACTTAACATATAAATTATTGGTATGATGTGTTTCAAGAGTATTTGGAATTTACACTGAGTGTTGTGTGAGATTTATGTTAAATAAGATTCACAAGTAAATCTTAATGAACGAAACGGGAGCATTGAATCCTGAAACCCCAAAAAATCAGAAATCGTACAATCCTGTAATAATGGACTAATATTACTAACTAGTACAACTGAAAATTATAATATAAAATAAAATATACCTTATAAGTACTTTCGCAATTCACAACGGAAAGGATTTACCATATATAATACCATTTAATTTTGAATTTGAAATATTCAAACATCATCAGTTTGAGTACTGTTTCAATTAATAAGTTTATATATGTTAGAATTAATTGTTGGTAAATATCAAAACTTTCATGTCGTGAACATTTTATAAACTTATTTGTCTTATTTAATAGCTTTTGAACTTTTAACCATAACCATTATGGTAATTCAATCAACCATAATGGATCAATTTTGGGTGTGTGAGCCATAAAATAGTACTTCCTGTGAGTGTGGAAACGATAATATGTGGATGTGTATCTGATATGAATGGTGTTGTCCTTGTTCAATAAGAAGCCTGATAATAATACATACAAATTACATGAATGAAGGTACGATTTAAATTTATTATTCAATATAAGTTTTAAAAATAAAACTTTAGATTAGCAGATCTATTTGGACATTTGGACAGCTTAAAGATGACGATGCGAAATGACAAATATCTGACCAAATCTGAATGAATGTTTTGGAACAAATGTGACTAGTGATTACAACTGGTACAAAACTGTGCTTGTATGATGCGGCATCGATTTTTGATTTTGATCTTTTGTGTAGTCATCGAGCATCACAAAAGCATCACTGCTTTTGAAAATACAGAGTACATTTTTTGGTATCACTAATACTCAAAATAAAAATTTTTGATTGAATTACTTTAATTGTTTAGTTTTCTTTTTTTGTAAAAATTAAAAAATATAAAAACTGTTTTTACTTATAGTGTTTTCATATACAAGTTCTCAACCGGCCTAACTCACTAAATGAGGTTTACGCACTAAACATGTTGACTAACTATTTTTTTTTGCCACTGCTGTGTTAATGCATTAATAGCTAACATTATTTTTGTTATTGACATTAGTAAAATTCAGTAAATAATTATTTATATTTAAATATATATAATAATGGAACATACTTCTTGAAAATTCAATTATTTACTTGCATGCGATAGCGATTAGCAGCTGTTTTTGATTTCATCACAAATAAATGGAACAAAACAGCTTTCTACCACGAATTACAATTGATAAAGTTTTTTTTTGGAAGACGTGACGCAGAATAGCTAAAATCTTACAAATGATTTTAAGGTCGACCTTACGGAAAACTTTTAACGATCTTTACCAGAATGGCCCTCTTAATAAATATAAAAATAATATGAAAAATAAAATAAGCACACGAATATAGTATCTAGAAGATTTCGCAAAAATTAAAAAACAAATTAAAAAAAAATATTTTCAATAACAATTAATATTTAGTTTTTTATAAATAAATTAATATTTATTTAGCTCTTCTATTTACCATAATAACAGCTACTATTTGCTTTAGAATCGAAGAAATCAATTTTTGTGTGGTTTTTGGCACAATAATTTGCCACTCTTCAGCAGTGCCTTTGTTGTTATAATAGCCTTCTTTGTACTTTTGATAATTACAAAGGTTGAATTCTTCAAAAGGTGGGCATTTGCAACTGTCAAATTTTATTTAATAAAATAATTGCCTAATGGTAGACAGAGTCAGCTAAGTAGAATCGCACTTAATAATGTATAGTGGTACTACACTGTAATAACTTTGGTTTATTGCATTTTTAGATTTTAATTTCAGAATATGCTTGAAAGTTTTCCAGAATCCTTGTAATAACTTTCTTTTATACAAAATTTGCAATAAACTTACTGTTTGTCTTTTTAGAATCAAGTAAACTGACTTTTATCCCACAGAAACACACCAAACATTCTACCAAATATTTACTTAAGCAAATTTTAGTAGGACATTAGTCCAAATTTTTCATAAGCAATAATTTAAAGTTTTTATATTAGTTTTTTTTTACATTTAATATACTTGTGCTTTGCAGTTTCATGTCCAAACAAGGTTGTTTCAATAAAAACGACACATATCTGTGCATGAAAGACATGGAAATCGCACATTTTTCCACCAATTTTCACAAACAGTGCCTGAGTTTCGGGGTGACGACATTCCAGAGAAAATTGCTTTCAGTTATGAGCTTTGATGCCTTGAAAAAATTGTACACACAAACTCCAGAAAAAAAAACAACAACAAAATGGACACAGAATACATTCACCCTGACTTGAATGCCTGCAGTATCCTGGAGAGAATTATGTTCTTGTATCTTTTGCTATCTGTTTAAATAATCTTATTTCGATTTGCTGAGAAGAAGTCAAATAAAAGTTTATTTTTTCGATTATGTTTCCTCTTCACTTATTGGACATGTTAGAAAATTTTCTTATCTAACTTCTTTTACATGGTTTTTTTAGCATATAATTGTCTATAGAATTTTTTTATTTTAAATTTATTTTTTTTACTTCTATGTTATTGACTTTCCAAAGGCTTTCGCCGATCGAAATAGTGTCAATATTGACAAAATTCCCAAAGATGAATACATTTCTCATTTCCGTACCAGAATATTGCTATAGTGGTTGCTGCTATTTCTGCTATTCCTGTTGTTGTTGTTGCTATTGTTGCTATTATTGTTGCTGTTGATGTTGCTGTTGCTGTTATGTTGACTGCCTCAAACAAGAAAACATTTTTGTTAAGGTTTTTTGTGTAAAGTTATTTTTAATAAGCGGAACCAAAAAAACTGACCAAAATGAGTTTGTACACTCCGTGATTAAACTCAATATAGTTGTTGAAAATAGCTCCAATGCAAGCATTTATTTCCAATATTTTGTTTTCGTACTAAGAAAAATTTTTTTTGCAAGATTTATGTCAAAATATCTTTTTTCTAGCCTTCATTTTCTTTGCTGCACTAAAAACTCAATTTATGTAGTGCAAATAGCACATAGAGAAAGAAAGTATTTCCTCACTTCTTCAAATAGCAAATATATTCCTTAAAAGGAAGCGTTAAAATATATTCACCTAAGCAAAAATAGTTTTTTGCCTTTTAGGAATCTTTCACAAAACACTAATTGTTGATGGATTGAATTTATAATAAAGAATAATTTTAATTAAAATTTTATTATATGTGAGTATATTAAGGTTTTAAGAAACTGAAGACAGAGTAATCAATATTTTCTGATGTGTCTAAGACTTCAATGAGATTAAATAGTCATTTTTTATTTATAAAAAAATCGATGTTATTATTATTATTAAAGCCTTGCTTTTGCTCGATGTGAAACAATTGATTTCGAGCTGCTTTTTATACTGGGCACATGTTATCTATAAGTAGTTCCCATTGCCTTCTTTGCAAAGCGATATCACTGATCGCGCTGTTACTGCTGTAGTTTCTGCTTTGTATGTTTGCATTGATTTCATTTAAAGCAAAACGCCTTCATGTAGAGCAAGCCCGCCATCTGCATCTGTTACCTTGGGGATTATATTTCAGGACCATATTTTCGATAAAGTCTAGAGGTTTGCACAGTGATTTGCCAATTCAACGACATTTTCTTCTCCGAATATCAATACTTATACCTCTCATATTTGTTCTTTTTGATTGTTTTTGCGGAGTGGATGTTTAAAATGCTTAACGATTGTCATTATGTCGTCACAATAGTGGTATGCTCGGTTTGCACGGACTAAAAACAATCCCCCTCATGTACCAGACCGTTTCTATTCTGGAACTTTATCGGGAATACTTCAGGATAAGGTCCCTATGTTGGTTTTCCATTAAAAATTGTTTTTTGTTTTTCTTCGTTAACCTGCGTCCAGACCTCGCTTAGATTTGTTTGTTTTTCCCTTTTTTTTAAAAACTAGCCATTTCCAAGATTCTATATCATATTTTTTCCGTTTGAGTATGATCGTAACAAAACGGTCTATGGTTGTCCAGTTTTATTTAGATTATTTTTAATTTATTTTTTATTTTTAATTATTTTTGTTGTGATATTTTTGACGTTTATTTCACCGACTATTGTTTCTAGTGAAATTCTTGCGGTGTTGTATCTGTTGCATTTGAAGATGGTGTACTCAGTGTAGTCTCCGTATATGTATTTCGGATGATTTGCTTTGCCAATGCGGTAAAGGTATTTTTGAAAATATCCATGACCAGAAAGGAATTGAGTTAAGTAATTGTTTACTTCGCCCGTTTTCCTATCTGACCATTTCGCCACATCTAGGATCAATCTTGCTGTTCATCTTCCTATTGTTTTTCCATTCCATCTTTGTTGCCACAGTTGTTGAATATGTAGTTTTGCTTCTAGATCATTTAGCGTTGTATTTTGTTGCTGCTTATATTGCCACCGTATTTTCATTTCTTGGGTTGTTAGGTCTATACGTAATCTGCGTCAAATATTGTACGGTATGCTGAAGCAACTCTCAGGGTTGCCGTTCGTTGTACTGATGCTAATATTTTATGTTTCTGTTCTACTTCAGAACTCATATTTGTTCTGGACCACAGTACCTCGTTGGTAATAGTATTTGGCTAAAAGACGCGGAGAATTCTGCGAAAACAGCGGTTGACAATACTGCGTAGTTTTTGTTGCACTCTTTCTATTGCAAATTACATTACGCAGCCATAGAGAAAAACTGCTGTAGAAAAATCGATGCAAAAGTTTTAAAATCAAACAATAGAGCAGTCATTCTTTACTTAGAATATACAAGTTTTTTTTAAGTTCACTTAACTTCAGTTTAAGCTGAAAGTATCGTATATGTAATTGTTCCATGTTAGTAATAAACATGCTTTTCTATTTTGGGACTACTTAATATAATTATTTTTTACACATATATCTGTTATATACCAATAGCTTACAATACGTCACTTTTTATCACAACCAAAGGCAAAACATTGTAATTATAATGAGGTAATTAATTTTTCCATTAGTTGTCATTGCAAACACTGGTGCTATTAGCTATATAGCCGCCTGTTGTAGGTTGGGATATCCTTGTAATATTTCAATTTGCAACGCTTTGAAGAGAGTTTTTCAAAGAAATTTGTACAGCACTTATAAAATCTACAGCACTTAAGATCTAAACTGACAATAACATTTTTGTTGTGTGTTAAATTGGCCTTTAGTTTCGTTTCAAAACTATCTCTTTGATCAAATCTCTCTTAATACTGGGAGAACAGTCATGTTACGTTTACACATTAAGTACCACTTCAGCAACTGGCATATAGAATTAGGAGGTGCCGATTTTATATTCAACGATGTTTGCAGTTTTAGTTCACAACTAATTTTAAGCCAGTGTATATTAAGTTTCTGAAGAAATAAAAAGGACATAGATTATTTAGTTCAGGTTTGAATGTTAAATCAAACACCAACACTTACACCCGAACACAGATATGGCCCATTGTGATGTCCTTAAAGTTGCTAGGAGGCGGCGTGTTTTACTAAGCATTGTTTTCAAAATGGCTCCACATGTCATCACTGTTAAAGCTTTTGGCTTTTCTGGTGAAAGTTTACTTTTGATAACTTTGTCAAACCAGCAAAGAAACGGATTTATGCGCATTAGATGCTTCGTGAGTAGGCATAAACAAACACACATAAAGTGGTTTATAGATCAATTAATCCATATATATTTTTGAATGGCTTAATGAGCAGATCCATTTAGCTATGTTCGTTTACCTGTTTCTCAGCAAACAAATTCTTTGTTCTTAAGCCATTCGAGTGAAACGTTACGCAGTGGCAACATTAGTATATGTGTACGTAATGGAAACCTCAGTCACATCTCAATTACTTAGCACCATTCTCATTACAATCCACCCTATGAATAGAAAGAATGGGCA